AATCTCTGTGTATTGATCATGGGGTGGATCAAGGCAGGTCTCAGCTTTGAGGTCTAGGTACATCTATTTTGAGAGTTACCAAGGACCTGACAAGTTGATCCATTCCATTCAAGCCATAGACTTACATTGATTCTTCTTAAAATCAGACTAATAATATACTGGTAGGGGGTGGGGAGGAGAGAGGAAGGGAAGGAGGTGGGGAGAAGAGAGAGAGAGAGAGAGATCCTTTTAGGATCCAAATATTTAGGTGTAGAATACTGAGTAACCTTTGATATACCAGAAGCTAATACAATAAATATTGGGTGAGGAATTAGCTTGCCATAAATGGAATCAGCATCGTGTGTTTCTCAAGAGTGTACTGTATCTTGATACATGCAGATACCCTGCTCCACTTTGGGGAGAAAAAATACTTATCTTCAGAGGAACAAATATTTATGTGTATACACACACACACACACACACACACACACACACACACGCACGCACGGATGTACGCACACACAGATACACACACGCACGCACACACACACGGATGCACACACACGGATGCACACACACACAGATACACACACAGATACACACACGCACGCACACACACACGGATGCACACACATACAGATATACACACACATCATTATACAGCAAGACTCTGTAAAAAACTAAAAAGAAGGTTGGGAGGAGGAGGAGGACAAGGAGAAGAGGGAACTGACTCTCAAAAATGGATCTCTGACATTCATACATATTCTGTGATGTGCGTGCCTGCCTGTATTCACATATATTACATATGTACAACCATAATGAAAGTAAATAAAATAAAGCTCATAACACTTCTCTGCTCTGAGGTTCAGTAAGAGACCTTGTCTCAAAAGCCAGAGGGACAGCTCCTGAGGAACAATACATGAGGTTGACCTCTAGCTCGAGTGTGTATACACACACACAGACACACAGACACACACACACACACACACACACACACACTGTCTCTTGGACCCAGCAATTTCTACTGCCCCTCACTCCCACTGCCTCCTTGCTGTGGGCATCCCTGCAGCCAGTAAAGGCTTCTAGCCGCTCATCTGTGGCTCCTTAACTTGCCATTATCTCTAAGCAAATCCCCCTTCTTTGATGCAGTTTGACCAGGCCTTGCCTGATACACCTCCCTGACACCCCCTCTCCCTTTGACCTCTCTCACCAGCCTCCTGTCTGACTGAATGCCCCTCAGGTGAGGGCTGTGACCTCTCATTCCATAGATATGCTCCTGGGCTAATTATGCTTCTTTTCTAACATTAAGGGGTTGGCTTTTTTGTGTCACTTCCTTTACAATGTCCCTCTCCTGTGTGCTCCTGGGCATGGGCAAAATCAGCGCAAGAGGGTGGCTATAGTCTTTTTCTCTACTAACCACCAAAGAGAACCCTGAAATCCTTACCCTGCCTAACCCTTCACCCCTAGGAAGAAGGCAAGAGTTTGATTTAATCCACATTAAGAAGCCCTGGGATAGCTGGGGGCAGAAGAAAGGAGATTTTCTAACTCTTGGCATGGAGTGTGAATTTAGATCCTCCTTGGTGTTGTTCCAGATGTGGAGAAAAAAGAGAGATGTGGAGAAAAAAAGGAGAGAGAGACAGATAGGCAGATAGATAAAAGATAGAGAGGACGTATTTGAAGTTTTCTTCTTGACTGTGGCAGTATGCTAAGACTGAATTTGGTGGGGCTTAGGAGTCCCACGAATCTTGTGCCTTGTCTTTGGTTCATCAGAGCCTGATCATACTATCTTGGCTGTAACTGGTGTTTCCTTGTCTCTTTCCCCACTGGAACACGAGTACAGAGACCAGGCATGTAGTAAACCCTCTCATGATTGACTAATAAATGAAACAGAAATTGTACAATAAAACAGAGACACAGCACACAAAATAAAAACCAAGTCACGGAACAATTAGCAAATGTAGTCATAGGGCAACTGTGCTGTGGAAGCAGATGTTAACTATGTCAGTCTACCCCGGGCGTTGGTGGCACACGCCTTTAATCCCAGCACTCGGGAGGCAGAGGCAGGCGGATCTCTGTGAGTTAGAGACCAGCCTGGTCTACAAGAGCAAGTTCCAGGACAGCCTCCAAAGCCACAGAGAAACCCAACCAATCAACCAAACAGACAAACAAACAAAAAATCCTATATCAGTCTAGCTCCAAAAATCACATCCTTAGTAACTGACAAACTTCTGATGGCAAAGGTCTTAATCTACCCTATCTTAAATACTTCTTGAGCTAGAGAATATTGGGGGAGGGGACAGGAAATTGCAGGAAACTAGAAGAAGCATGTAAACTCCAGGCCCTGCCTTCTTGTCCACACTGGTGCAGCCTGGCCACTGTTGCAAAACTGGCATTGAGGAAGCCCTTAGTAAATGTCAGAGCTATTCTAGACGCACATCAGTGAACAAAACAGCCAAATGCTGCAAGGAGCTTACATCTTATCTTAATAGGAACAATAAAAAATGTAAATAACTTATGGTGTTAGAAGACTATCAAATCTATGTAAAAAACAAACACACACACACACATACACACACACCAACCAAAAACAGAGGAACCCCAGGGAAATAAATAAAAAATAGGATTTTTATCTTTTTTTGATAGAGAATCTTTCTGCATAACCTAGACTGACCTAGAATTCACAATGTAACCCAGATTGGCCTTGAACACAAAGTGACCCTATTGCTCCAGGCTCTCAAATGCTGGGATTATAGGTGTGTGCCACTATAGTTTAAAATGGGAATTCTTATCTTAGAGTTCCAGATCCACAAGAGTTGTCTCAGAGATAGCAATCAGGGGTCCTGTGAATTTGAATAGACGGGGGCAGGGGCATTTTCATTTTCATTGATTTTAAAACCTCAAGCCTGAATGTAGCAGTTTACTAGTATACTAATAGTAGCAATTGTAACATTGTTACCAGAAATCACAGTATTTTCTATCTTTTTGGCAGCTGTTATAGATATCTTGGACTATTATTTCTATTCATTGCTACTTTGTAGCCATTGGGCTTTCTGATTAGAACTTGTTCTTTAGTGTATCAGTAAATGGATACTTAGTAACTATGTGTCAATATACTTACTTTCTTTTGCAACCCTATGCCTTTTATTTACCTCATATATAAGCATCTCCTGGAAGCCTGTAATCCCAGCGCTCAGGTGGTGGAGGCAGGAAGATCAGGACCTCAAGGTTATCCTAAGCTACACAGAGTTCAAGACTAGCTCCTATCCGAGACCCATTCTCTCAAAACAAAGCAAGGGTTACAAACAGTAGGAAAAGAAAAATGGCTTCAAGTAGAGGATAGCAGGGGTGACAAAACAGGTTGTAACGTTAACTGGGGTGGGCAGGGAAGGCACCACTGTAAGCCCCATGGGTCTAAGTTTCTAGCACATTCTCTCCTTGGCCATCCTCAAGCTATTGCCTGGCTCTGTCTAATGCTCAGAGTCAGGTGTGCAGTGCTGACATCTTGTTGTTTACCAGCCTATTTCATCCTGAAAGCCTCCCACTGCTCTCCAGTCTCAAAGTACTTAACATTCAAAGGCTTGTTTTTGCTTTGTTGAGACAAGATCTCATTATATAGTCTTGGTTGGCTTGGAATTCTCTACATAGCATAGACTGGCCTCAAATTTGGAAGGGGGGTTTGAGGTGCAGGCAGTACTAGGAATTGAACCTGAGACATCATTTGAGGCACTCTGTCTCCGAGTCACTGCCCTCTACCCCAGGTCCTAGCTCAGAATCTTGATTTTTCTTCTCTGCCTCATGAGTTCTGGGATTACAGGTGTATACTACCACTTGCAGTCAACTTGGGGAATCAATGAAATACTGTCAGAAGGTCTAATAGTGTGTGTGTGCGCGTGTGCACGCGCGTGCGCATGTGTGCACATGCATGTGCATGTGTGTGCATGTGTATGTGTGCATGCCTGTGTGTGTGTGTGTGTGTGTGTGTTGGGGAGAGAGATGGAGAGAGAGAGAGAGAAAGAGAAAGAGAAAGAGAGACAGAGAGAGAAAGAGAGAGAAAGAGAGATCTTTTGTTGTTCTGTTTTCTATTTAAGCATCCGACTCAAGGAGATAAAATAAACTAGCTCAAATCAGCCAGCAGTGTCTGTCTCCTAAAGAAAAGATAAGCAAATTGGCAACTCCGACTGCTGATTAAGTACCACCCAGGGCAAATGGAATGTGAATGGAAGATATTGCCATATTGCAAATTATTTTAAAATTCCAATTCATCTCACACACACAGTGAAAATCCTCAGGATTCTGTGACAAAGGATCCTTTGTTTCTTAAAAAAAAATTTTTTACACTTTGAAGCTGTAGAAATATTTTTAAAGAGCTACATGTCAACTGTGATAAAAATACTATCAAGAAATGACAAAAATTGATTTCTTAAATAAATTAAGATGCTATTAGCTGTGAGGATGGCTCCTCTTGTGACGGCTGTGTTCGTGGGGAGGTCTCTTCTGTCAGTCAGATCAGAGGCCAAGGCTTTCAAGGTTGGCTCCCCTCCTCAGCCCACCTCTCTCTGACTCCTCAAGCCTCCAGCAGCAACTTCAAGTATCCCATGCTACTGTGACGGGCTGAAGGAGTGGTGTGTGTGTGTGTGTGTGTGTGTGTGTGTGTGTGTGTGTGTGTGTTCTCTTCCTATGGAATGTTCTTATAAAAAGTAAAACACTTCCCAGTAGCTCCGAATTTCACCTTTACCTCCTCGGCTAGAACAGGCCACCATGCAGTCACCACTGGAACGTGGTTGCTTTTCCACAAATTGACTTAAGACTATCACTCCTGGGGCAGGCACATTGCTGTTCAAATAAAACCCAACTTGCATACCTAATGGGTCTGCTCCATAGAGTGAAAGCTCCAGGAATCGAAGCAAAAAGAATCCTGAAACTTTAAGCTGGGGAAATATATGAATCTTAGCTAAACTAAAAATAAGTGATCCCCAGACTAAATTCTTCCTTACATTGATCACTTACATGTGTATTCCCAGGTCACACTTTAGAGATTCTCAGAAACATCCTTCTTCACCAGTCGCTGTGCCTGTGAAGCCCTTCCTCCGTATCTGACACTACAGTGCTTCACTTGCTGGAAACGCCTGTGTGCTCTGCTAATTTCTACCGGTGATGCAGGCATCATTATCCTATTCCACAGATGAGGAAACTGAGGCTTAGATAAACTCTATATCATCATCTGGTTGGGAGCAATAGAGTTGAGACATACATTTCCCGTGTTCCATTCTTGTTCAGCTGTTTCCAGAGAGGGGAGGATAAAGTATTTTTAAAAAATGGAACAAAGAATCTTAATCCTGTGTGGGGTGGTAGAGCGAAGGGAATACCTGAATACCAGGTGGGGGTGTCAGGCAGGGCTTCCTGAAAGCACCTTAGCTGGGTCTGAAAGGATGGAGAAGACAGAAGGCAGGGTGAGCAGGGACTAAAGGGTGAGGCCACCACTCAGGATGCGGTGGGACAAGAGTGGGGGACGAGACTGGAAGGTTGGTTTGGGGCAGATGACAACTCGAGTCTACTGTCTGGTCAAGGTGATTAAGGGTTACTTGTAGGTAGCAATGACTCAGCGACTCTGAGCAATGGTGTGGCTGCAGGAAGACAGTTTTATCATCAGGCTACATGCATTCAAGAAAAAGACTGGAGCCGGGGTGTCTGGTGAAGCCGGGGTGCCTGGTGAAGCCGGGGTGTCTGGTGATGTGGGGCTGACTGGTGAAGCCAGGATGTCTGGTGAAGCCAGGGTGCCTGTGAAGCCGGGGTGCCTGGTGAAGCCGGGGTGCCTGGTGAAGCTGGGGTGTCTGGTGAAGCCGGGGTGTCTGGTGAAGCCGGGGTGTCTGGTGAAGCCGGGGTGTCTGGTGAAGCCGGGGTGTCTGGTGAAGCCGGGGTGTCTGGTGAAGCCGGGGTGCCTGGTGAAACCAGGCTCACTGGGCACTGGCAGCCTAGGAGAGGGGGGCGTGAACTAATGGGAGGGGCTGTGAGAAGAGAAACGGTGAGAATTAGTCCAGACTTGAGCGGGTTGTGGAAGCACAGGAGGATGGTGTTTCTCCAAGAAGAGCAGATGAGTTCCATTTGGTAGCAGCTTCTAGAAGGCTGTTGGGAATGTGGGACCAGATCTAGGAACACCCATCAATGCCAAGATCCGCCTGAAAGGCATAGACAAAGAGCTTGTCGAGAGAGAGCCAACAGAGCAGGGAGAGCTAAGCTAGAAGTAGGCCATCAGGAGCTAAGAGGGAAAGCCTCCCCTCAGACCAAGTGGTTACAGAAGATCACTATGTACATCTACCCCAGAGGGAATAAATGCTAATCAAGGTAGATTAGGTGCTTGGTCTAGATCCTGCACCTCTAGCTGTCTCCCGCAGGGTTTTGATGCCTGTGGCTTAAGGACCCCACTTTGAGAAACACAACTACCTCCCTGTGCGACCCCCACCCATGGATAGTGGATTAGCGTCATATTATACACATATGACTCAAAACAGCCCATCTCCATTGAAATCTCTTGGCTAGAGAACTCCAAGCTCTAACGCCCAACTTCAGCGGAGCAGCCCTGTCCGGATGTCTCAGAAACCTTGAACTCAGTCCGTTCAGAATCCAACTCATTTTCTAACCATACCTGGTGCAATCGGATAAAGTACAGGTTCCTCAGTTTGGCATAGTCTCCCCAGTATCCTCCTCCACCACAGCCTCTGGCGGTGATCTCATTTTGTGTAGATCCTAGATGCACAGACTTTTCCATATTGCTGTCCTTTGCCAGAATCCCCAGGCTGGCCGAAGATGTTCCATCCCCCTGCCCCCAAACGCACTCCTTACCATTCATATGCCTGTGCTCCCTGAGGACCACAGGTATCCGTGTCATGACGGTGCTCTTCGCGAAGGAAATGACCAGGAAAGCTGAAGGAAAATTGGAAACACTTTGCATAGAGAGGAGAGAGACTGAAGAGGAATGACAGAGTCTAGCTGTGGTCTGCCTAAGAGTCCCAGTGGTGGGAGAGCTGAGGAAGGTCGCTGGATTGGCATTTAAGAGGCCACTAGCAACTTTAGATCAGTGTCAGCCCAACAGTCCTCTGCCATGGGGGTCAACCCCTCTAGGGCCTGCCCCATAGGGCAGGCTCATGTCAGTAGGAGGGAAATTCACAATACAAACACAATACACATTGATGTTCAGGCTCGGTCCCCGAGCCAGGTTGACTTAGCAGGACCTGATGGCCTTGTACACCACTAGCCCTAGCCACCTCCTCTTGCTATGTTCTTCCAAACTCCCCGTGTTTATTCAAGTTCAGCCGAGCTGCGTGTAGGCAAGGAGCTCCTGCCTGCCCGCCTGTTATCACAGGAGGTCCTCTGCAGAGCCTGATTACCTCTCAGAACTACTTCCTAGGGACAAATCAGCCCAGTCTGCCATTCCTGCCATCTCCAGCAAAACCGCCCTGCCTCCCTGCACCTTCCTCGAGGCTTCTCTCTCGTGCACTTTCAAGTTTCGTTCTTCCTAACTAACTCCTTTCAGCTGAGTGCTCTTGGGCATCACCTCAGCCCCACCCCCACCGGGGTGTCTGATTGTTTTTCTTCTGTAAACAGAAACAGAAAATGAGTGACGTTTCCCTGTCATCCCGGCCTTGTCCGTGCAAGTCCCTCTAAGGCTGCACGCATGTCTGTCTAACAGTCATGTCCCCTTTGCCCTGCCAAGTCTCTGGTCTGGTCTACCCTTTGCCCTTAAAGCTGTAGCTGCTATGATTCTTCATTTGAATGCACTATCTACTCTTTCAAAATCCCCTGTGGGTGTGATATTTGTCAGTGAACTGTCATTATTAAATACCAGCTCTCTTACAAAGAGATCATTGAAACCAAGTTAAAGTTGAAAGTGGAAATGCAAATGAATTTCTTAAGAATAACTGAGAAAAAAGACTAATAAAACAATAGTAAAAAAAAAAACAAAATTGGCTATATTATGATTTGTTAGGAAACAGAATCAAAAGAGAAAAGAGGAGTAGATGAAATAAAGAATGCGTGAAAAGATAGAAAAAGAGACAGGCACAATGTCAGGAAGAAAACAGAGGCAAATAAGACCAAAAGAGAGGTCTGATCCATGGGGCTCTGCGTGAGTGTGCCCATATGCCTCATAGAGGTCAGAGGACAGCCTCTGGTGTCATTCTTCAGAAGTTTCTACTTACCTTAATTTCTTTCTTCCTTTTGCCCCTCCCTCCCTCCCTCCCTCCCTCCCTCCCTCCCTCCCTCCCTCCCTCCCTCTCTCCTTCCCTTCCCATCTTTGTCTGCTTGCTTTCTGAGATAGTTCTCTTAGGGAATGGAACTCACCACGTAGACTAGTTTGTTGGCCTGTGAGACCCAAGGGTCCACCTGACTGGATTACAAATGAGTGTTACCACAACCAACTTCCCTTTATTTGTGGGTCCTAGGGATCTAACTCAGGTCCTCATGCTTGCAAGCCAAGCACTTTACCAAAGAAGCTATCTCCCTTGCTCGCAGAGGTGATTTTGGGAGCGACAACTTGACGGTGTGACCTGCTTCCTCCAGGCATGTTTTTAATAAACATACCACAGACTTAGAATCAGGAATAAGCTGTCGGGGAAAAAAGGAATCATAACACCAAGTCAAAATAAGAAGCAACTTATACAGACACCCGGCTTCAAACAACCCGGGGGGGGGGTAACAAGACTCACACCCCTAAAATATGCACCCGAAAGACCACTCACTGTCCCTATCCTGGTGACCCTGAAGATACTGTGATGTGTACCTGTCCCGCGCTACCGTCTCGCCAGCAAGAACGACGCAGAACACTCGGATCCTTCTGCAGTAAAGCTTTAATGCATCTTGAGAGATAGATGATCAGCTTCTTAGAGGGAGACCCCAAGCTAAGAAACCCAGCCCCTTATATAAGCCTAGGAGCTCCGAGTGAGACGTGTAGAGCCGGGATTGGTGGTTTGCACATCACCCCAGATGACGTCACGGGAGAGGCACAGTTTAAACGGTTAACTCCAACTGACAGCGACAGTTAACTCCAACTGACAGCGACAGTTAACTCTAACTGACAGCGACAGTTAACTCCAACTGACAGCGACAGTTAACTCCAACTGACAGCGACAGTTAACTCCAACTGACAGTGGATGTCAGCGCCATCTTCTAACGGCAATAGCGATAGCGAGGGCGGCTCCTCACATCTCCCCCTATTCATTTATTTTTGAAGCAATAGGACACCCACAACTTTGGAGTGGAGATAGAGGTCAAATCCCCATGTGCAAATTCGGAACATGTACAAAGCTCCTCTCCAGGGTCTTATCCCCAGAGGAAGTCCTGACCAGTCCGATGTCTTTTTTCTGGGGGAAGGAGATCATGACATAGAACCTTCATGCAAGATGACTTATCTCCCAGGAGAAAGTCGTTATACCGCAGACCTCTCCTGTGCAGTGCTTAGCCTTGCAACTCCTTGGGCTGCTGAAGCCTACCCACTCTATCCCGTGCAATGAGACTAGCCTCGTGGGGTGCAAGAGCTGGGAGGCCAGCGACCTATTGCTTTAACATGGTTAACCAAATGTCAGGGGATGCTCCGTGTTCTAAGGCAGCAAGTGCTTGTGCCACCACCACTTTCTCCTTTTGTTTGGGCTCTGAGCGTACACACCATCCAAAGCATCAACACTATTCCACAGCAGAGAACTAGGCTAAATGATCCTACCCCCACCCATTCCTTAAAATAAGAAAATGCAGATGAAATCCAGGGGGAGAGGTCTTCCATCAGAGAAAGATCCAGATGCGTCGAATTCACTTGCAGGATCGCCATTCTCAACTCACGGAGTGTCTGCTCAAACTCAAAAGTCCAATTCTGTAATAAATGTTGAGACAGAGCTTTTGACAGGTTAGCTGCTCTTGTAAAATTCTCATATTGTACTAAGTGACACAAAGGCCAGGCAACTTTGTTCACATCCCAATTTGGCCATCTGCCACAATATATCCAATTGTTCCTGAACCAAATTAATCTGTTGGTTTACCAACATCAGGCCTCCTTGTATCTGAGAATTGGCAGTGGCCTGTTTATCTAGGACCATGGTCACAGTGGCCTATAGTTCATTAATGGTTTGAGTTGTCTGCACAGTGGCAGAAAGTGCAAGGGCCGAGGCGGTAACCGAAGCAGTAACCGCGGCGGTGGCTATCAGGCCCACAATAATAGCAGAGATCCCAAAAATCTCGCTTTTCCCTAAACAAACTCAAATTACTTGGCGCCTCAACAGGAGCTGGAATAAATCGAGGCATGCGCATTACCAAAGCAAAAGGGTGCTTAATAGCATCCCAGCATAATGCATAAAAACAATTCTAAGCAGAACAATTTATTTCTTTCTGATTCTTACCTAAGGTATCATTACTCACAACCCAAATAAAGGGCAGCTGAATAATTAGTTCTCTTAAAAGGGGTATACTTAACATTGGAGGAGGACCAATCAGATGATCCAGAGCTCTGTCCCTCACTCAGACTGTTGCCTAATGCCCCTTTCCAATCAAAAGTAATCTGTCCCTTCTCACTATCATAGGAGAAAGATCAGTACAGCTTCCATTAATTCAAAAGGATTAGCATTAGATCTTTCTGGATCCATATGAATAAAATTATCCTTTAATGAAGAAATCACAGTAAAGCACAAGCTTCCTACTAATGACAAGGTTCTCTCATCCTGAAAACTCTGTATCTGAGGATCTAAAGGCAAAAAGGCAAGCCCCAACTCTCTATTATTTGTGAAAAATCTAGGGAACACCTGGGCATTCTGCATCACTGGCATCGGTAGGGGGAAGGTAGACATGATGGCCCACCGTAACTCTCCCATCATACTAGGAACCATCATCCCGAGTAGGAGAGTCTTCATCACCCACTTGGCCTCCATCCTTCTTATTCTGGAGTTGTGAAGGAGCTCTTCGAGTGAGTCTTTCAGGGATCCACAGGGGGTTTTCTTCCTCCTGTGGAAAAACACACACAGCTCCCCTGGATCTTATAAGAATAGGATCCGGGCCTTTCCAGAGATCAGTCAAGACATCTTTCCATTTTACCATTTCTTTTGGCCTATCAGGCTCTAAACTGTGGCGATCAGCCGCAGTGTGGCCTTGGGCATCACAGTTCAAGAAATTAAGGGTAAAAAGTGCCATGGATACAGCAACTCTTGGTACCGAGGGTAGAACATCCTCAATACTCCCCTTTTGTTTAATCAGATATGATTTGAGTGTACGATGGGCACGTTCCACAATGCCCTGTCCTTGAGGGTTATAAGGTAGGCCAGTTAGATGGGTAACATCCATTTGCCGACAAAACTGTCGGAATTTTTGAGAGGTATATGCTGGTCCATTGTCTGTTTTTAAAATTCTGGGTTTTCCCTAAGCACTCCAGGCCTCAAGGCAATGTTGAATCACATATGAGGCCTTTTCCCCTGTTAGGGGTGTGGCAAACATTACGCCAGAACAGGTGTCAACAGAAACATGAACATATTGAAGCCTTCCAAAAGAGGGAATATGAGTAACATCCATCTGCCACATCTGCAATGGTCTAATGCCACGTGGGTTTATTCCCATGTGGGGAGTAGGTAAGAATTCGCAGCAATTCTGGCATTGAGTAACAATTTCCCTAGCCTCTTTCCTGGATAGAGCAAAACGACGGCGCAAGGTCTCAGCCGTCACATGAAAGCGCTTATGGAATTCTTTTGCTGCTTGTGCATGGGTAGACAAGGCAGCGGCCACCAGCTTTGTAGCCTTGTCCGCTAAGTCATTCCCTAAGGACATGGGACCTGGGAGTCCAGAATGTGCTCGGACATGGGTAATGAAAACAGGAAATCTCCTATTTAACAAGGCAGCTTGTATCTTCTGAAAGATGTTAGCAACTCTGCTGGAGGATCTTATTATTCCAGCTATCTCAAGGAGATTAACTGCATTAACCACATAAGAGGAATCTGATACAATATTGAGGGGTCCTGGAAAAGCCTCAAGAACCTCCAGTACTATCAGACATTCTACAACTTGAGGTGAAGTTTCATTATATTGTTTAGATATAACCCTATCCTTGACCACATAAGCTCCCATACCAGTTTTTGATCCATCAGTGTACACCACAGTCCC